GTGTGTGTGTGTGTGTGTGTGTGTGTGTGTGTGTGTGTGTGTTTGCTGACTCGTTGTTTTTCTCCTCACAGATAAATCAGTCCGGACTCTGAGTCCAGCTCTGAGTAAGAATCTGTTTTTATTTAATTATTTCTACAAACTTTGTTTCGGCTCCTTCAGCTGATGCTGCTGTGACTTCTGGTTTTTGTAACTTTTAGATTTTTAATAACTTTATTAAACATTTTTTCGCAGAAAAATCTTTAATTCATTAAAAACTTTTGTTCTTTGAAATCAGCTGCTGGMTCTAATGAAGTCTTTTAGCTTTTAGCTGACATTTAGCTGCTTTTACCTATAGTTCTGCTGATTTAGCTTTACAGTTGTCACTTTTAGCTGATAGCTGAGCTTTTGATATTTTTAGCCTTTTGCTCTTTTAAAGAACCATGCTACTTTTAACTTCTAGCTGTTTTTAATTAGCCTGCTTTTAGCCTTTATTTAGTTGCTGCTACCTTTAGCTTTTAGCTACATGATTCACTAATATTAGTCTTTAGCTAATGTTTTGCAACTTTAAGCTAATGTTTCATGTRGCTTGTAGCTAGCCTCCTGGTTTTTTTTTTTTTTTACCTTTTTAGTAAGTCTTTTGTTACTTTTAGCTTCTAGCTAGACTTTAAATACTTTTAGATAGCATTTTTATWCTTTAGCCTCTAGCTAGAGTCACTTTTAGTAGGTCTTTTGGTACTTTAACCTTTTGCTATTAGAGCTTTTAGCTAAATGTTTGTGACTATTGGTTAGCCTTTAGCTACTTCACTGTCTCATAGATTTTTGTTACTTTWCAACTCTTGGCTAGCCTACTTTTAGCCTAACATTTGACTTTTGGTTAACTTTGAGCTACTTCAGTGTTTAGTAGCTTTTTGCTACTTTTAGCTACATGTTTGATATAGCTTTTATGTAAATGTTAGCTGATTTTAGCTACAACAGTGAGTTTCTTCAGTAAAGTTGAATAAATTTAAACTTTTCTGTGAGTCAGTAAAACAAGTTATTCAGGTGTTGATTAAAGACAGCTGAAGAAAAACAGCTGAAGAAAAACAGCTAAAGAAAAACAGCTAAAACACAGCTGAAGAAAAACAGCTAAAACACAGCTGAAGAAAAACAGCTAAAAAACAGCTGAAGAAAAACAGCTGAAGAAAAACAGCTAAAACAGCTAAAGAAAAACAGCTAAAGAAAAACAGCTAAAGAAAAACAGCTGAAATAAAACAGCTGAAGTAAAACAGCTGAAGGTTTAAGCTCTGGTGTTTTGCTGCAGTGATCAAAGCAGCGGTTCTGATCCAGAGGTGGTACCGGCGCTACGTGGCCCGGCTGGAGATGCGGCGCCGCTACACCTGGAACATCTTCCAGTCCATGGAGTACGCTGCGGAGCAGGAGCAGCTGCAGGTGGACCTCAGAGACCCGGACCTGATCAAACAGAACCTCTGGTGCAAACGTTTAATTCTCCTTTCATCTCTTTGTTCTGCAGCTCTCCAGCTTCTTCACCTACATGTTGAACAACTTCACCCAGCTGAACGGGACCGGACCGGGTCAGAACCACAATCACTGAGTTCAACATTGTTTTGTTTTGATTTAAACTATGAGTCCAGCTCTTTATATTTAATTTAAAGCAGCAGAAACTGATTGATGTGGGTAAATAAAGCACGGCGTCTTCCTGTTGCCTAGCAACAAGCAGGAAGCTGAGCACCGTTGTGAAACCGTCTCCACTCGTCCGCCTCACAAACAGCCCGCTTCATTAATGACGTCGTCCTCGTTCGGTTCTGTTGGGTCGAGCAGCAGCTGTGGTTTTCTGTGAGGATGGAGACAAAGAGCTGTCCTCGTGTCCTCGTGAGAGGCAGAACTGTCCTCGTGTCCTCGTGAGAGGCAGAACTGTCCTCGTGAGACGCAGAACTGTCCTCGTGAGATGCAGAACTGTCCTCGTGTCCTCGTGAGACGCAGAACTGTCCTCGTGAGATGCAGAACTGTCCTCGTGTCCTCGTGAGACGCAGAACTGTCCTCGTGAGACGCAGAACTGTCCTCGTGAGACGCAGAACTGTCCTCGTGAGACGCAGAACTGTCCTCGTGAGACGCAGAACTGTCCTCGTG